TGCTTCACACTCGAATTCGATGACGAGGAACCCACTTTGAGACTAATAATGGCTGGAGACGGCTTGAATGGGTAATGAAGAAAAACTTTAATATAAGTTTAACATAACAGCAAATGTACAAAGTTTTGTCATCATCAGGTCATGTTAAACTTATATTAAAGTTTTTCTTCATTACCCATTCAAGCCGTCTCCAGCCATTATTAGTCTCAAAGTGGGTTCCTCGTCATCGAATTCGAAAAAGTATGCTATGCTACGAGTTTTTTTGTACTTGTTTCATTTGTTCAATGCTCACTTTGTTACAGATATCCTTGCTTAGATTTTTGAAGATAATTTTAAAAGTGTAAAGGTTTTGTCCTGCACAGCTTTAATATATCTGGAGAGATAACCAGATTTACTAGTTAAATGTGAATAATCCTTTAAGACATAATAACAGTATGAGTCATTTTCTGTCGGCAGTTCCCGCTTCATTCACATGCTGTCGAAACGTCAGTTAGAGATGTTAATCTCCAAAGTTCTCGAAGGAAAAATCTTATATCGTTCTCTCTCCTTAACATTCTTTTATAATCTAAAAGTCTGACTGAATACCCAAAGTTATTGCGAGGAGCCTTGTCTTACATAGTCTTTGGGACTATAATTTCATCAGTAACGTTTTTTGTTTTTACTGGACTTCTAATCAAGATGCAGATCATCAATGCCTCCACATTTTGCATTTTTCTTTCAATAGGAATTGATGAGCTACTTTCTTTATATATGTATATTTTCATAGGCCAGCTGAGCTGGGTATTTTTGTTGTTGTTGTTTTGCAGAGTCTTTATATGAGGTTGTGCTCCCACTCTCACCGGAATATTGCTCATGAAAAAACACAAAAAACAAAACAATTATTTATTATGAAATTATTTCACAGTCCAAGCATTAAGATGATAAATAAAGAAAAAATATCATTCCACATTTAAACATTACCGATATTGGGTTAGTATTCGATTAGCATACGCTATCCATACACATTATACATTATTGATTAACGGATTATGTAAATTTGCACTAACATGCTACGATACTAGCTCTAATTTCTCTATACTTTATTGGTTGCAGTCTTATGAGCGATAGTGATGACAGTTTTACTAGGATGATTATTAATAGGTCGAAAATCGCTTGAGGATAGTAAGCGCTCTGGGAAACAATTACAATTAAATTCAAACAAATAAAAAATCATCAGTATCTGCTTTGTCGTAGTTGAATACGGCATGAAAATGAACAGATACCAAGTTAGGACAAATAAGCTTGACTTGTAAATTTAGACTGCAGAATAATCGCCAAAGGCTGAAGAAAATTGACACTTTTATAGATCTTACAGTCTAAATAGAAGGATAATCAGAAAACTTCTGCATGTAAAATAAAAGATATGAATGACGTCTAAATAACAATTTATAACGGATATCAAGTATTTAAGAGTAGGTCTATTTATCGGAAATTTAAAAAAATATATAATTTCCTTTAATTCTTATCTTTAGCTGCTATTTCCAATTTTCTAATCTCCTGTGTATTTTGAACGATTATTCATCTTCTATTTAAATAATGTTATATAATGTATAACAACGACTATCAACTAGATATTCTTCAAGTTACATCGCTCGGAATGCCATTGAAGTATTTCATGGGTGGCCTGTAGAGTTTGTATAAATATATTGCATATGTACATATGTACGTTTAGCATGATTAGTTGCTGACTTAATTTTTAATACCTTCTTTAAAGATAAGGATTAATACTAATATTAACTACAGAAAATCAAGTTAAAATTAAACATAATTTTTCACTGAATATCTAAATTTATAAAACGCACCTTTGATTTGGAATAGCATGTTCAGTTTGTGGCTCTTCACCTGAAAGATATTACATTTTTGGCAAGTTTGGTCTGGGAGACTTGATTGAAATTAAAGCTAAATACCAGTGACATAGCAAGGGTTCTCAGCACCCGGGGGCAAAGACACTTTTGGCGCCCCCACCTCTGAAATGTTTTGATTATTTGTTTTGTGACTCATTACCCACTTAATGACAATAACACAAAGAATTAATTACCGCCTTACACAGGCCTAAAATAAAGTCACAATATAACATCTCACGATATTACAACTGTAAAACTGGAACTAATGAAGTATAGCCTACTAGGTGTACTTACATAATTTGTAAACCATTTTGATATTTATGCCATCCAGTATTGTTCAAAGTCACATAACTAGAAAAATCTTTCAGGCATGCAGAATAAATTTCTGTTATAT